CCAAATGGAAGAAGTACAAAACCTAATTGAGGAAAATAATACCTCAGAAGTTGGAATTGGACAAGTGGAAGCTAATGACTCTGGCATCAAGAATCAATCAAACAAAATCAAAAGAATGGAAAAATGGGGGAAAAAAAATACAAAATACCTCATGGGAAAAACAACTGACCTGGAAAATAGATCCTGGAGAGACAATATCAGAATCATTGGACTACTTGAAACCCTTAATCAAAAGGAGGACCTAGACATCATCTTTCAAGAATTTATCAAGGAAAACTGCCTTGATGTCCTGGAACGATAGGGCAAAATGGACATTGAAAGAATCCAGTGATACCTTGGGAAAGATCACAAAACAAAAACCCCAAGGAACATAATGGCCAAATTTCAGAACTATCAGGTCAAGGGAAAAGTACTATATGTGGCCAGAAAGAAACAATTCAAACATTGGGGAATCGGGATCATACAGGACCTGGCAGCTTGCAGCATTAAAGGATCATAGGTCACGGCACATGATAGTCCGGAGGGCAAAGGATCTAGGACTATAATCAAGAATTACTTACCTGGCAAAATTACCTATAAGATGTTGAGGGGAGAAATGATCATTCAATGAAATAGGATTTCAAGCCTTCATAAGGACAAGGCTAGAACTAAACCAAAAATTTGACCTGCCATGTCAAGACCTAAGAAGAGTATAAAGAGGTAAAAAAGGAAAAGAAAACATAAGGGATTCAATAGAGCTAAACTGTTTACATCCTTATATGGGAAGGTGATAACTAAAAAATACTTGTTCTTAAACGTATCACTAATAGTACAGATAGAAGGAATATACATACATGGGGTATGTGGGTTTAAGGTGAATTTGAGGGAATGACATAAAAATTAAGGGATGAGAAAGAGGAGTACAAAGGGGGAAGAAGGAAGGGAGGGGTAGAATGGGGCAAATTATGTTATAAGAAGAGGCAATAAAGACCTTTTACAGTGGAGGGAAGATAAGAGGATGAGTGGGCTTCGTTTGAACCTTATACTCATTAGTGTTGTCTCAAAGAGGGAATGATATACGCAATCAGTTGAACATAGTCTGTCTTACTCAGTAGATTAAGAATAAGTAAAGGGAGTGGGGACTGACAGAAGAGAGGGCAGATCAGGGGAGGTGGTAGATAGAAGCAAAACACTGGTGAGGTGGGAAAGGGTGAAAGGAGAGGACAAATAGGGAAGAATAGGATGGAGGGGTGATACGTGAGTAGTAATCGTAACTGACTGGGATAAAGTCTCCCATAAAACAGAAGCCAGAGCAAATAAAAAACCAGAATCCTACAATTATGTTGCTTACAAGAAACATACTTGAATCAGAGAGACACACAGAGTAAAAGTAATGGGCTTGAGCAGAATCTCTTATGCTTCAGTTGAAGTAAAAAAAAAAAGCTGGGGTAGCAATCCTGGTCTTGGATAAAGTAAAAGCAAACATAGACCTAATTAAAAGAGATGAGAAAGGAAACTAAGTCTTGCTATAAAAGGCACCACAGACAATGAAACAGTCAAATTAGAAGAGCAAGGAATACCCTACCATCAAATCTATGAGGAGGGGAAGAATTCATAACCAAATATAGGGATCATTAAGAAATATAGAATAAATAATTTTGATCATATTAAATTGAAAAGCCTTTGTACAAACAAAACCAGGGCAACCAAAATTAGAAGGAAAGCAGAAAACTAGGAAACAATCTTTACAGCAAGTGTGTCTGATTTAAGATTTCATTTCTCAAATATATAGAAAACTGAATCAAATTCATGATAATACAAGCCATTCACCAATTGATAAACGGTAAAAGGTTATTAACAGGCAGTTTTTAGAAGAAGAAATTAGAGCTATCTATAGGCATATGAAGAATCTCTTAATCACTTGATTAGAGAAATACAAATTAAAACAATTTCTGAAATACCACCTCACACTAATCAGATTTGGCTAATATGAGAAAAAAGGAAAATGACAGATATTGGAGAGAATGTGGGAAAAATGGGACGCTAATGCTCTGTAGGTGGAGGTGTGAGCTGATACAACCACTCTGGAGACCAATTTGGAATTATGCCCAAAAGGCAACCAAACTCTGTATACCCTTTGGCCCAGCAATATCACTATTAGGTCAGTATCTCAAAGAGATCATAAAAGGGGGAAAGGACTTAACATGCGCAAAAAATATTTATAGCAGCCCTTTTTGTGGTGTCAAAATATTGGAAATTGAAGGGATGCTCATCGATTATTGGGGAATGGCTGAACAAGCTGTGGTATGTGAATGTAACAGAATACTATTGTGCAATAAGAAATGATGAACAGAAAAAAACTGGGAAGATATGTAAGAACTAATGCAAAGTGAAATGAGCAGAACCAGGAAAACATTGTACCACAGCATCAGCAACATTGTGTGATGATCTACTATGAATGAGTTGGCTCTTCTCAGCAACACAATGATCTAAGACAAGTACAAAGGACTTATGAAGGAAAATACTGGCCACAGCCTGATAAAGAACTGATGGACTCAGAATGCAGATCAGAGTATTTTTTCCCCCACTTTATTCATTCTCATGGTTTTATTTCCTTTTGATCTGCTTTTTCTTCCACAAGTGATGATTAGATAGCACATGTATAAACTATATCAAACTGCTTACCATTTTCAGGAGAGGAGAAGAAAGGAGGGAGAAAAAATTGGAACTCAAAATCTTGTAAAAATGAATTCTAAAAATTTTATTGATATGTAATTGGAGGAAAATATTACTTAAATTTTAAAAAATAGGAAAGATAGACATACCACCAAGAAAAAAAGGCAATGAGGTCCTGTACTTGGGTAGTATCTATATGAGTGGAGAGAATTTTAGAGATGCTGTGAAGGTAAAAATGACAAGATCTGACAACAGATTGGATATGTGGATTGAGTGCAAAAGGCATAAGTGAACTATGCTACCTAGTTATCATCTGGCTTGTGCTAGGGTGCCAACCCATATTTGTATGAATTAATGAACAAATAAAGTATTAAGTGCTTACTATGTTTAAAATACTGTTCTAAGAGCAACTGGTAAAATAGTCTCTTTTCCCAAAAAGCTCACACTCTAATCTGGGGAAGACAGCATGTGGAAGGTTTAGGCTGCAAATTGGGTGAAAAGGTCTTATGGTACTTAGAGCTCAGTTGCAAAGCATATGGTAAGGCTGCTTCTTAAATTTTATTTTCACTGATGAAAGCCTGGCAATTTCTTATGCTAAAACCTTTTGGTAGTGCCTCAGGTTTTAATGACAGATCTCTGCAAGGAATGTTTCCCATGATGATGGCTGTGTTAGCTTGGCTGGAAATGTTGTTATTCCAAAGGTTTTGAATTCAGAGTTCTGGCCAGTCTCCATTAGGGTCTCAGGAGATGATGAGCAAGGTGGTATTTTGACTAATCTGGCACATGCTGCCTCTTGTTTGACCCCCAAAATGCCCCACTGCTTCAGCTAAACTAGTTTGCCTGCACTGTGTGGCAGTTGGAAAGGGTTACTGACTCCTTCTACAAAGGAGGTGCAGACTGGTGATCTGGGGAGTCCTGCCACTCCTAAGACTCTTGTGTCGATTTGCCTGTTGGTGGCAGTTGGTTATTGGTTGTTGGTAGCGATTAATGAAGGTGTACCCCTTTTCCATAGTAATTTCTGACCTCAGTAATGACTGTGAGGGCTGAAGGCAGGTCTGGTTATTCCCAAAGCTTCTCAGTTCAGGAAACTAGCAAAAATTTCATCCCATCTCCCTTTCAGGATACCCAGATATATAAATATTGATATAGGACACTAGTGTAATATATCTAAATGGGTCAGACTTTTGCCTTGCAAAGTTTCCTTTGATCGTCACTCAGTTTTGAAAAGAAAGGAGATGTATAGCCAGAATTTGTAGCGGCCTGTGGGATATTGATCTCAGGCAGAGAAGTGTAGAGAAGAATGCACTAGTTTGATTCAGAGAGCTTATAGGGCTTTGTTTTTTGTGATGTCTGTCTTATGGAGTAAGCTGTCCCTGTAGCTGGGACAAAAGCTGAAACTTTGTTATTCCTTGTCAAAAATGACAGACTCTCGGGCTCCTGTTTTTATTGATCCTTGGCAACTGGAGTAATGGCAAGTTGTTCACTAGTGGGTTAAAATGCAAACAAGTGGGATCTAGCGTCTAGCTTGCCTAGACATATCAGACTTGGATCTTTTTTTTTCTTTTAAATTTTGGAAGCAATAGAGGTTAAGTGACTTGCCCACACAGCTAGGTAGTAAGTGTTTGAGGTCAGCTTTGAACTCGCCTCCTCCTGACTCTAAGGTTGGTGCTCTATCCACTGCGCCACCTAGCTACCCCAGTCTCCTTTTCTCAAAGAACTTAAATCTTAAGGATTAAAATCCTACTACTCAAAATAGTAGACTACTTCCTAGTTAACTGTGTAAGTAAGCATTTTTATTCAGTGGTTCACATTTTAGTATAAGTAAGCAGGAAGAGCTCTGATTTTGTAATATGACTAAGGCAAGAAGTGATGACTTTCACAATCAAGAAAGTCCCTTCTAAATGTGCAGATAAGATGTAATTTAAAATTAAAAAATGAAGATGTTAATGACTTAGTTTTAGAAATTATTTTCTAATTGTCAATTATCTTATTGGAAAAATGCATTATTATCATATTCCTTTTTAGTCATTAAAACATGGGGAGGTTGATTATGAAAAAATTTGCTTCTATGTGCCTAAAGAAATTGTAAACTTAATTTCAAAGAAGGAAAGTAGGAGAGCTTGATATAATGAGGGTCTTAACCTTGAAATTACCGTGTTTTGATTCAGTTGAAGAATCATAGAATTTATTTTATCCCTCATTTAATTGTGCCTAACTCTAATGATACAATTAGAAACTGTATTTTTCTGCATAAGTAATTGTGTTATGTATTTTGTATTTTGTTTCAAAAATGTCTTGTATGGAGATGCTGTAGATGTACTTACCATAATTTTTTTGTGTCCTAGCTATCCAGAAAATGGTATTACACTAATGCCTCCCCAAGATGTTCGACCACGAGCGAGAAAAATCTTGAAGTGGAATGAACTAAATGTAGGGGATATAGTGATGGTGAACTACAATGTAGAAAATCCCGAAGAAAGAGGATTCTGGTATGATGCAGAGATTACCACATTGAAGGAAATTTCGAGGACTAAAAAAGAAGTTCGTGCAAAAATCATACGAAGGTAAGATTTACTTTGCATTGTACCTACAGAATCAATCCAGGCATGTATTTAAGTACTGAACTCTCAAAATAGCATACTGTGACATTTTGACCAAATGTCATCTTATTGGAATTTCAATTGAAATTGTCATCAATTGGAATTTCTTGTTCATGAAGGGTAGTCAGCAGTCTTTTTCAAAAAATTTTAAACTTTCCTACAGATTTTCAGTGTCAAACTAATTTTTAAACTCAAATTAAGAATCGTATTTGTGTTAGGAATGATGACTAAGCTTTTTTTGGCCAGAAATGAAATTAAGACTTTGTGTTTTGGTGTGGTAAAGGAATGGTGATTGCCAGCAGCATTGACATTTGAGTTACCAAGGTTTTATTTGATATGTTAAGAGAAAATATCTGGTAGTTAATTTTGTGAGAATAGAACAAAAAGGATTTCTCCCCTTAGCCCATTTTTTTCCAGCTTCACAAAACTAAGAGCCATTGTTTCATAGGTTGCCTTAACAAAAAAAAAATTTATTGCTTAGTCCAACCTACTGTTGTTGAGTTTCTCCATACTTGGCTGGGCTTGTTCTTACACACATTCTGTTGCCAGGAAAACATTTGAAGTGTTTCTGGCCTGATAGACTGTGCCAGGTCTGATGTTATATTGGCCTAGCCTGCAAGAAACTCTCACTTCTGCAGAGACAGCAAAAGAATGGCAGGAAAGGGGGCATAGAGGAAGAAGAATTGTATGGTTTTGTGAGCATCTAAACATCAGTTTTACTGCTGGCAATCTGAATGTGTAATCGTTTTCCAGTGTCTAATGAGTCATTTTCAAGGAACTGAACTATATTAACATTGTCATTTTCACTATAACCAAAAGTATAACATATAGGACGTTTGCCACTAAATGAAAGAATGAGGCTTTCCTTTGAGCAAAACATAATTAGGAAGTGGAGGAGTTATTTTTTTCCTATTCTTAAAGGCAATAAGAAACATAATTTCATATCTCAGTATTCATGATGAGTATAAGTAAAAATAATACCATGAAGAAATACATTTTGTGTCTGCATCTATTGCAGAAGATGAGAAGATAAATTCTATAAAGAATTTGATAAGATTCTCTAAACTATATTAAACTTTACAGAAATGGTTTAGGGGAGAATGGCAAAAACAATTTTTTTTGTAAATATAGTTCAGGATAAAGAAGTGAGAAAGTTAAAGGCTTTTAGACTACGTAGAATCCTGACATTATGTATTATTAATTCCCTCAAGAAAAGAGCTGGAATTTTCCAGACAGTACAAGCACAGAATTTCACAAAAGTAAAAAAACCGAATTGACCATATCTTAACAAATAGAAAGAGAGACACAGCTATGGTAATGAAACCTAGGTTCATTTGTCTCTGATGTGTAATGACTCTGTAATCTTGAAGAAGTCATTTAACTTTTGGTACTCTAGGCAACTCCCTAGGATCACAGGTTACAAAGAGAATATGCCAACATGCATTGGTAAAAGAAGTTTGCACACTCCTGACTTGAAGTTCTCTATATCAGTAAAATCACAGGTCCATTCTCTATCCCTATCCCTAACAAACAGGAAATTACTGATTACTGATGTGGGAGTCATTTCTGAATCAGATGTCTTAAGTAATCAGACCATTGATTTGCTAGAAAAATACCTTATTTAGAAGATGAAAATGACAATGCATAGCTTGAGTTAAAACAGTACCAGTCTGACCTATTTAAATAAATTGACTGAAAAAATGGGAAATGAATATACAGACATTAGCATGGACTGTTACCATTTCACAGTCTCTCATTATATATAATAAATACAAAATAAGTGTACCCTTGTTATTTTATGCTAATTAATAAGCACTAAGACCATTTCCCTGTCATCGTAGTTCTGATTTGTCTTTTCTGAATCGCTCCTTTGTTGTCTGTCAGCAACACTAAAAATCTCTGTACGATTTGTGCAGATTACTTTCACTAATCTTTTGACCCTTGATCAGCACCCCCTACATTAACACCTAAGTCTATAATTAACTTATCTTATGGCATGAAACTATAGTAACCTAAAGAATTACGTTATTGGCATTTTAGGACACATTTTCTGTTTTTATATATTAACCAGGCCTTACAGCTATGCTTATGTGGACTCAGCTGGTATTTTGTATGGACCATCTTGTGCAGAAACAACTAGTTACCTGCATAGGCTTTATTTTTTTTTTTCCCTAACATATTGGTCATGTAAATGAAATAACAGCTTAACCTTCCTTATCCGCATTGCATTTTCTTATGTTGTCTTCATACAATGAAGGCAACACATCCTGAACAAACCTCCCCCCCCAGTTTCTTCTCTCTGTCATTTTTGTTTCTCCTTTACTCTTCATTTGAATTATACCTGCCTTTTTTTTTTTAAAGTTTTTTGTTTTTACTCTCCATATCCTCCATTATTCTTTTGAATAATGAAATGATGAAAGACTAGGTCCACTTCTTGGTGTACATAAGTTTACATTTGACTGAGATACTAATATCTAAACACTAAATAGAAATGCTAATTGATTCTGCTTTGATCATTATGGGTAATGGTCTTTAAGCTGGAAGAGGTAGAATAAAAATTTTAAACATAGAATTGGAACTGAAGGTAGGGTTTTCCCCCTTATTTTAAAAGCCCAGGAGAAATTGAATCTAAAAGCAAATGTTATTTCTGCGTTAAGTTTCAGTTTAGTAATAATGGAATGCATTTGCCCGTAGATGCATTTGGTAGTTATATTCTCAAGCTAGCCCAGCAAAGCTTTTTAAGGGTTCCATGTTATGGTTGAGAGAACAAGCTTGGCTTACTGGATACGGCCAACCTTGGAATGAGAGAAGCGTGGGTTTTGGTTTTGTCCTCTGACGCCTGCTGACTGTCTAACAGTGTATAGGTCAGTCTGTCGATAAATCAGTCATCAATCAGCAAGCGCTCATTAAGTGCTTGTTGGGTTCCAGGCATCGGGGATACAAAAATGAAATTGTCCCTGCTCTAGAGGGGCCTATCTTCTATTGAAAGAGAGAAAGAGTACAGGTTATTTTTGGTCCAGGATACATGATCAGAACTGTGCTGAAAAGAAAATCAGTTGGCAAGAGACTTGAGGCAGAGATTCTAACTGGGAGCCCTTTGTAATAGTCCAGGCAAGAGATGATGAGGAACTAAACTAAGATGGTAGCTGTGTGAATAGTAAAACAGGGCAAAAGCAAAAGAAGAATCAAAGATAATGCCAAGGTTACAAACCTAGGAGACTAAAAGAAGGATGGATTTGAGGAGAAATACTGTGAATTCTGTCTCAGATGAGCTAAGCCTCAAGTATATGCTACATAACGAGAACATCTGAATCAAAAAACCCAAAAGACAAGTTGCAGGGCCAGAGCTCAAAAAGATGGACTGGATACATATAGAATGGAAAGCCATTTGTGTAGGGATGCTACTTAATTCCCACTGATGCCACCAGAAGAAGAGAATATGAAAAGGGAAAAGAGGTGTCAGGACAGAGCTTTGAATTATAATGTGGTTGAGTGTAGGTAGTGTGATATAGCTAAGAGAATAAAAGCAGGCCAAGGAGCAGTCGGGTAGGGAGAAGCTGAGAAGAATGAGAACTCTGAAAAGACTGTCAGATTTGGCAGTTAAGAGATGATTGGTGAATTTGGAGAGAGCAATCTCAGTTGAGAGCTGAGGTCAGAACTAGATTAAAAAGGGTTGAGAAGTAAATGAAGAGAGGAAGAGGAGGCAATGTGCATAGATAAGTTTTTTCCCCACGATTTTGGCCAGAAAAAGGAAGATTTGCGAGATTGGCAAGGTGTCTAGTAAAGGCTTTTTAAGGATAAGGGGAGATGGCTATATAGAAATGAAACAGAGAAGCAACCAATAGACTAAAGACTGGTAAGTTATATAGAATAATGATGATAAGGATATAATAGCTAACAATTATACAGCATCTCTTAGGTTCCCAGCACCATGCTATCAGCATCCCAGTTTTACTGATAAGGAAACTGAGGCAAACAGTTTAAGTGACTTGCCCAGGGTTACACAGCTGGGAAGCATCTGAGATCAGATTTGAATCTTCCTGATTCCAGGCCTAGCACTGTATCTACTGCACCACCTAGACACATGAGTTGTAGATCTTCATCTGTGCAAGGAGTTTATGTTTGGGGAATTATTTTCCACACTGGTGAAATCATAAGTCCAAAGTAGGAGGAAGAAGAAAGAAAAGTATCTGTAGCACAATATTAATAGTACTATAGAATCCTGCCACTATGTATAACATTTCTGTAGAAAAGTGAGCTTTGCGCAACTGTCTCATAAATGAAGCTTGGACATAATCCATCTTGCGGTTGAATTTCCTATACTTTATACTCTTGGCCTTATACCTTCTTCCACTTTTATTGGCTCATCCATGCACCTTGTGCAAGGTCTGAGAAATTCTATTTTGTTTGTCTTTGTTAGCCAGTTAGATTGTTTTGACCTGGCTTAATTAACCCCAGAGACCTGGTATCTCACTGGTCCCTAACTGCTTTTGCACTGTGGTACAGTTAGAGTTAAGTTTTTTGGGTCCTGTCCCCTCATTCCTTTTTAGGCTGTCAATAATCCAGACTATTCCATTGCCTTGCCTTACTGGTGTTGGGATGGTCTCGTATTAGTGCCACGTCAACTCTTCATTTAAAAACTGTGGAAGTTTAAGCCTAAATAACTGTGAGGCCTTCAGTTGGAGTTTGCATCCCATTGCATGTTTGAGCCACCTCACAGTGTACTGACCACTGGACTAAGGGCAGTGAAGGCAGCACACTTATAGTACCATCTGTTCTCCAGTGACTGCCTTCACTTTGTGGCAGTGTTACTCTTCCCCTTTTTGCTTCATTCTGTTTACCTACAACTTTATAACCAGTGTTCTGTCACTGATACTTAATCTAATGCTTCTGATGAAACCTTACATAAACTTTGAATAAGGTAATTTAATTGAATTCTTCACAGAAATAGAAAATCTTTGTTT